AGGAACTTTGGTAGGCTAGGGTGCCCTTGAACTCATAGAGATCTGCCTGTGTGTGCCTCTGAAATCCTGGGATTGAGAATGTTTTTTTTTAATATGTATTTTATTTTACGTGTATGGGTATTTCACTTGCATTTATATCTGTGCACCATTCATACAGTGCCCCCAGAAGCCAGAAGAAGGTGTCAGATCCCCTGGGGCTGGAGTTACAGATGATTGTGAGCCACCACATGGGTGCTGGGAATCAAGTGCAGGCCCTCTGGAAGACTAGCCAGTGCTCTTAATTGTTGTACCATCTCTCAGTTTGAAAGGTTTTTTAAAGAAATCCAAGATGAGGGAGTTGGGAACTATTAGGTTAGTACTTATCTCTTCAATACTTCATTGATGGTGAAGTTGAGAAATACTAAGAAGCACAACAGGACAGACTTTTAACTACTAATCATTTGAAATCTGCTTTTCTCCCCCATGAAACATTGTATCATAAATATATTTCTAAGTTAATAAATCAAAACACAGTATCACTTTTAGGACCTACAGTAAATATTCCACTGTATGACTGCACCAGAAGGCAAATGTCATCAATTTTCCCAACACAGAAAACACTACAGTTAGTATCTTTATTCATATATCCTTGGAGCACCATCCTTCTTTCCTTAGGATAAACTCAAAGAAAATTAACTACTGGCCGGGCGTTGGTGATACAGTCAGGCAGTGGTGGCACACGCCTTTAGTCCCAGTACTTGGGAGATAGAGGCAGGCGGATCTCTGAGTTCGAGGCCAACCTGGTCTACAGAGCGAGTTCCAGGACAGCCAGGACTGTTACACAGAGAAACTCCGTCTCAGGGGAAAAAAAAAAAAAAGGAAAAAAATTAACTACCCGTAAACATTCTTAAAGCATTTCTACATTGACATTCTCACTAGATGTGTGTGAGAACAGCTGCTTCTTCATGTTCTTACCAACTCTGAGTTCTGCCATTCCTTTTAAATCTTTGCAAAATTATACTAGAGAAAACTGCATGCCATTCTAATTCCCCTTTCTTTTACAACTACTGAGATAGTACATTTTTTTCATGTTTACTGGCTATTTGAATTTCTCCTTTTATGTATTTTTCTTTGTGTATTTCCCCCATCCATTGCATGATTTTCTAGAAAAATATTTACATTTTTCTTCTTTCTATGCTAAATACAATGAACCTTACGGCAATTTTTCCTAATTTTCTCATTAAATTTATTTATGGCTTGCACAGAAGTTTTAAATTGTTACATAATTAATGATATGAATCTTTTTCTTTATTAAATCTACCTTCGCTATTATGAATATAAATATCGACCTCGAGATTATGTCATTCCCTATTTTTTAGTTCTTTTATCATTTTGCTCTCTTTAACTTGTAATTCTTTAGTACAGCAGTTCTCAAACAAGATTAGACACTGAACTGCTCACAAGGCTCCTTTAAATGCTGGGTCTTAGGACTGAATTCCAATGGTGGGAGGGGGTGAGACCTAAGCAGAAATATGCTTTAAAGCACAGAAAACTTTGATAGCCTCCCTCCTCTCGTACTAAAAACTATTTTAATCCTCCTAAATTAATGTGGATGTAATTCTTCCTCAAATTACTTTAGCACATTTGTTAGATAAACTATCTTATTAATTTGAGTTGTTACCTTTTAAATTCCAGGAGGCCAAGGCCTATAGCTGTTTTTCTAGACCTAGACCATCTACAGCTGTTTTATTAAACCACTGCATCTGTGGGGCCCAGGATACATCTTGAGTTCAGTAAACACTAGTTAGAAATAACTAACACAAGCCTCCTTATAACTTTAAACCAGCTAGTCTCCTCTCCGGTGTTTCCCTAAATCATTAGACCAAAACCCCTTCAGCTATGAAAAATATGAACACACACTCTGTTTAAGGTAGCCAGAGCGTGTATTCGAGGGCTCCATTGAGGTGAGGTAGATCACAATAACAATGTTGGCCACGTTGAAGAGGTATTACAAATTCTGATCAGATGCTCTAGAAGCACTACACCAGTGGCCCAAGGAACCAAAAAGATCTGAGAGTTTCAGCTCTTAAAATTTCCCAGCTAGCTGCCTCCAGAAACTAATGCAAAAGCTTCCCTGAGCTGAGGACAGACCCACGGAGTCATTCCCTCTTTCGTGAACCCACAAACAAGAACAACAGAGACTGGGTTTTAGTCCTGTCCCCAGGACTTGTCACTATCTGACCTTGGGCACCCTGGACTCTAGGACTCTAGGACAGAGTTACATGTTTCCTAAGAGTCTCTTCTGATCAAAACCTCTACTTGAAGAGCCCAACAGACTATTACATGGCAGGGCTTCCAGAGACAACCTGAAATTACCTCTACAGAATGGGGCTCCTGTCCCATCCAAACTAAAGTAAAACAATAGTGACGGGAGTGATCGTAGGAGTAGTAGCTATTACTAAATTATGACTACTTTTACACACTAAACGGTATTCTAAGTGTCTCATGATTATAACATAGGCACACATTTCTACAGTACTAGGTTTAGGTGTTTTGCATAACTCAATTCATCTTCACAACCTTATATAGTAGCTCTATTCTCATTCTCCTTTTACAAAGGAGGACACTGAGTCACAGAGGGTTTAAATAAATTGCCCAAAGCCTCACAGCTATCAAGTAACAAAGCCAGGAGTTCAATCTAGACGCACATGGCTAACCCGTAACTATCATTTTTCCTTCAAAAGTTGCCAAACTAGCCAATAAACTGCGGTGATCCTGAATGCTAAATTCTGTAGACCCCTTCCCTCTTAACAAAATGAGTGTTCAGTCGATGTAAAGTTAAGCAGATCACATGTCAGAGCCAAGCTCGTAAGATATGGTACTAAGAAAATACGGCATTTGATTTATTTATTAATAATTGTTAGTCATTAAACATTACAATATTTTATGGTCAAATAATACATCATTAACAACTAAAGACATCTGCACAAATGTAGAGGAAAACTACAAACTTTATATGTATCCCGGAGAACAAAAGTAGATGCCCTCCCGCACATACTCCAGGCTCTATACTTTTTCAAAAATGCCTTTGAACCATCAACCCGACAGCCCAAAGGAATCAAAAGGAAGGCGGCAGGTCAAAAGTTTAGGACACTAGCTTCCATCACCCCCTTCAGCCACCTCTCCTGTGTCTCATCTCACAGAACGACGGCACGACTGACTCCCATGCCCAAGCTGGCTGTTTGTCCAGGCTCAGTTCTTGCTAAGTCCAGCCGCGAAACATTCTGGAACTCGCGGTACTCTTTCCAGCCTTCCTTGCTTCTCTCAGAGCTCACTATCTTTCTCCTAAACCACTCTTGTGGAAAACTCCTCCTCAAGGAGTCCAGGCTTTTCACTATCTCCGGCAACACCTCATCTCAGCGCTGCTGCCAAGGTAATCTTTCTACAACAAAATCTGCTTGTGTTCCTTCCCTGTTCAGAATCTCTGTCTCCAGGATCAAGTGCAAAAGCCTTCCGAGAACATATAAGGTTCTTTCTTGTCTGGCCTCCAACCACCTTCCTTGCTTCATCTCATAGCAGGCAAACAAAGCAAGCTGAAGTTCCTGAACAGTGCCGCTCTGTCTGGCTAGAACGCAGTTCTCTCATGCAGCCATATGGCCGACTCCTACTCAGTTTTAGAGCAGCTCAATCCTCAAAGTTCACCATGCTTTTTCTCTAGGCTTGCATCTCATTTTACACCTCTCCCTGTGGTAATATTTACTTAATGTGGCACAGTTTATTCATAAGTCTGTCTTTCCCAGATCCTGAGGAATGCTCCAAGCTTCTGCACTTTACTCCTCGCTCTCTTCTGCTTGTTGAATGAAAAGAATTTCTCAGATTTAACTGCATGCATACACACACAGGCACAAGCATGCAAGCACACACACATACAACACATGACACACATGTGGAGGTCAGAGGGCAGTTTATGAGAGTCTGTTCTCTCCTTCCATCACGTGGATCTCAGGCATAGAACTCAAGTTGTCTGGCTTGGTGGCAATCACCTCTACTCACTGAGCCATGTCATTGGCCCTAAACTGTTTGTGATAAACACCCATCAAAGCCAGCATACAAGGCAAATCACATTTCAAAAGTATTTTTAAATTGACAATCTGTGTATATCAAAACTGTTACATTCATGTATGGACATGTTTTTAATCATAAAACACAACAGAACATTTTTTTAAATTCATTAAACCACAGACAAATCTAGCTTTTGAATATTCATAGATATTGAAGCAGTTTTACTCTATTCCATGTAAGTGGCCCTGAACCTTTGGTGGGTCACAGACACAGTTCAGTAGTTTTTGTCAATCATTTCTTAAACCCACATTTCTTCTGTGGTGATTATAAGATTCCGATGAAAATTCTGATACCATCCTGAAGATCGATGCCCAACCTCACTAAAAATAACAACTTTGCATGTGATAGAAATTCACAACAAGAGATGTAATTTACCAACCAAAATATTGTTGAGCTTGGCTCTCGGGTTCATAATATTAAAATGAGCATATTCTTTCTAGCACCCAAATCTAAATGTAACATTCAATGAGTCTTTTCAACTGCCAAAACCCCAAGAAAGTCTTCATTGAGAACAGGAAGCTTGAGAGGCAGCAAAGTGTGTCTCCCCTCCTTTCGAGAATCTTACAATCCAAATTTGCTTGAAACAAATGAAAAGCACAAATAGGAAAAAAAAATTCATCTCCTCACATATAATCCCCGGGAACACATGTGTAAGGGAAGGAAGGTCTTTTAAATGTTTCTGGCACAACATTTGTCTAATTCCTCATTCACATCCACTTGAAAATCATTTGAACTTCTAGCTGACAACAGCTTCTCTTAAATGAATGTGCATTGTCCTCGCAAAGAAAGGGTTAAATTAAAGAAACAGCTGGCTGCCAGCCACTGGCTCTGGGGGTTGGGTGGGGGTGGAAGACAGCAGGAGGAAAAACCAGTTAGAGGAATAAGTGCTAATTTCTTACCATGCCACATGGCCATCTTGTACCTATCTTCTCCCAGGCTGGGGTCACAGGCTCAGAGCTTTCCAGAGGCCCCCAGTTTTGAAGGGGGACTTAGAAGAGGGCGTAGATGGAAATGCAACTGTGTGCTTCTGCGTTCTGCAAGATTCTTAAGGCCCCAAACCTGAAAATGTAAAGAGAAAAATGAAAATCTGAAAAGAAAACAAAGCATTTCAAATTCTTAAAGATGACCTCCTGCCCCTCTCGGAACCTCTCTTTCAGAGATAGCATACACAAGCAGTGTCGAGTTTCCCCTCTGCAGCAGCGGGGTACTGTGCTGCAAGAGTGGAGCTAGACCATCAGTTAAGACTGCCACTCACTGCTGCAGGATTCTGTATGAATCACTGGGGCTTCAGTAAATGGGGATGAGTAGTGCTTGATTGAGATAGCCATTGTGTGTTTCCTATCTTAAAGTTCCACACTCTGGTGAATGAATTCTTCCTCTGCCCCTAAAGTATTCCGTGTTACATGAAGAAATCCATAGAAAAGAGAGCAGATTCTGTGAATAAAGTTTAAAATAGATGCAGCAGAGGAAAGAAACGGAGCAGAATAGATAGAGAGTAAGAAATGATGACACCCTTTGGGATGTGGGTCTTCCTGTCCAGGTTATTTTGTTCTTTCGCACTTTGCAAAGCTCCTCTAGTGAACACATTATACAGCCTGTATCATGAGGGGATGAATCAAAGACAAAATATACAAGCAGAACATGAATTTAAGTACAATCACATTAATTTAGCTGCCGCTCAGTGTTCAGTTTTCAAATCCAGGGCTGATGAGAAGGCTCATCAGGGATAAAAGAGCTTGCCGTCCAAGCCTGAGTTCGATCCCTGGAACGCGAGGAAAGATGGAAAGAACTAACTACAGAAAGCTGCGCCCACCCCACCCCGCTACTCACACACACACAAAACAGTACGACGAAAATTTTAATCTTCAAATTCAGTCTTAAGACAATACTGTTTCCAAGTACATGAAAGGAACTAGGAATCGAAGGAAAAACTAAAGGGTGTGATCGCTGCTCTTAGTTTGGTTTGGAAGTTTAATATATAAAACTTTGTCCATTTAAACAAGTTTTAATAATTTATTTTCCCCATTGAGCATAAAAGCTAATCTGCATTTTTTCAAAAAAAAAAAACCCTCACTCTTTTGGCCTGGTGTGCATGGAGGCGAATTTCTATTTCCATCGCTTTTACACAAGCAACACGTGCAACTCTGAAGTGGAAAAGCTAAAGGCTAATACTAGTTTGAGAAGCATGTTGGCCCTCTTTAATGACCTCTTTTTCTGTAAAGAACAAAAAGGTTCGTGTGTGCGCCAGTCCTCAAAACGCCAACAAAGACCGGGCTTTGGATGAGGAAAGGCTCCTGAAGTCCAAGAAAAAGAGAGCTTAAGAAACTTCGACTCCAAGGATGAATTCACCAGGAAAAAGCGCTCCCATGACTTATCTGGAACATGGCTGAGTTTAAGTTTGTTTTTTCTCCCCTTCTCCTATTTTGCTCACAGTTAAGAAGTACTGATCAGCGCCTTGTGGGACAAGGGGAAATGGAACAGCTCTGAAATTCAACCCGAGAAATTACTAATACATTTATGAAGTATGTGTAAAGCACAGTCTCACTGGTTTTTAATGCTTCAACTTCTGGGTTTCCCTCATTTACTCGGTGCAGCTTCCACTGACGTTATCACACAGACTCACGTCCAACTCCAGGCAACAGATTGGTTCTGAAACGTTCATAAAGGTAAAAAGTGCGTCAAAGTTTCAAACTAAAGCTTTCTTTCCATTACTGGTAAAGGCACTGGAGCGCAGGGCTCCAACGCCTGGGAAGCAGCAGCTATGCGCGTTGGGCGGCAAAAGGGAAAATGCACACCAACTTCTTTGCCCAGACCGTCTGGATTGGACTTCACTAAGACCCACGCGAAACCCGTGGCGGATCCAAAGCAGGAGCGAGCAGAACCCGGCCTCGGCTGCACGCTTTCCCAGTGAACGCCGCCCTAGCCCTGTCCTCTGGAGAGGCGACGTGGGCAGTCAAGCTCCCCGATTTCAAAGCTGGGCGGGCTTGGCGCCCTTTGGCAAGGAAACTTCGGGCAGCCTGGGGGACCCTGCTCCGAGAACAGGGTTGGGCTCCCATAGAGATGCCGCCCCACACTGGCTGGAACCAGCCCGTCCACCTCCTTCAGTGGCAGCCAGACAGGGGACGCCAGCTCCGGAGATCGTGGTGGCAGGCGAGCGCTCTCCCTGGCTCGCTGTAGCAGGGGGCTCATCGGGTGGGCTGGCGGCTGGCGGCCGGCGGCCGGGGAAGGACCTGTTGGGAAAGGGAAGCCCATTTGCCTTTACCTGTCACCGAGGTCCGGCGCGGCGGAGCCCGTGTCCACAGGCGGTGGGCAGCGCGCTCAGTCGGCTCTGGCGTTCCACACAGCGAGTAGAGCTAGCGCCCCACGTAGCCAGCAGAGCTTCATTCACACAGCCCAGCCGGGAGGAGGGGGAGCGGAGCGGGAGTGCAGCTCATGTGACAGGCGCCTCGGAGTATCAGCTCTGCCCAGACGGCGTCTGCGCATGCGCGCCACGAAGTCCCCTCTCCAAGCACCTCGGCCCAGCCCGGGGAAAACCGCGGCCAAGCAGCTGCTGCTGGGAGGAGTTTCAATATGCGCAACCGCAATAGGGTAGGCAGGCTTGCAGCCATATTTAATGAGGACTGGGAGGATCCAACCCAAGTGCTGGGCGTGTCGGTTGCGTTCGGAAAAAGCAATGCTCCACTCGGTTTCATTGTTTGCAGATTGCCTATCTTGGTTTTGCTTTTGTCTTTAGAACAAACTGTTTATCCTGAGCGTCTTGCCCACGGCATAATAGTAGAAATATAATACTAATAACATCAGACCACATATTTAAGCCTCCTATAGGCCAGGCATTGTTCTAACTCCTACACTTTATTCATTGCATTTAATGTTCACGAGAACCCTAGAGGCGTGTATCATTATTTATCCATTTTCACTCGTAAAAATACAGAGGCACAGAAAGGTTATATAGCCTTTCCAATCTCACACTGTAGTAGCAATAAGAATAGTGATCAAATATAGTGATGCTTCCAGCAGTCAATTTAAGCCAATACAGTAAAGTCTATATTGCAGTTAGTCATCGGTATTATCTCCAATTTAATCATTACCAAGCTAAATCTCAAAGTGACACATACTTGTAATCCCAGCACTCAGAGATTTGAAGGCAGGAGAATAGGAAGTTCAAAATGATCCTAGGCTACATATTAAGTTTGAAGGCAGCCTGTGCTACAAGACACTGTCTCAAAAACAAACAAAACACAAAATGAAATCTCAGATTCTAACTAAGATCTCTCTGTCTCCAAAGCCATTCCAAACAATTAGAAGAAATATAATATTCTCATTTTTTTTGTTTTTTTTTATTATTTTTTTCCCGTTTTTCGAGACGGATTTCTCTGGTTGTTCCTGCTTGTCCTGGAACTCACTCTGTAGACCAGAATGGCCTTGAACTCACAAAGATCCACCTGCCTCTGCCTCCTGAGTGCTGGGATTAAAGGCGTGTGCCACCATCGCCCATCTTATTCTCATTTTTTAAAAGAATGAACAGGCCAGACAAATACAGTGCAGCTAATTAATTTATTGGAAGAACTAAGACTGGAATCCATATCATCAACACAAGTAATCTACCTGGAACCCAAGTACTCAAATTCAGAATCCAATACAGTAAGCAATAATTTTTTTTCAATTTTCTTGCAACAGTACCTTACTCTTTAGTCTTGGCTAGCCTGAAACTCTCTATGTAGACTAGACTGACCTTGAGATCACAGATTTGCCTGCTTCTGCCTCCCAAGTGCTGTGATTGTAGACCTGTGCCACCACACCAGGCCTTTTCATTTTTTTTCCTTTTAGAAGTTCATACATGAATACAATAAACTATAATCCTATACACTCCCATTTGCCACTCCAACTCTTCCCATATTTTTCTCAACACCTTCCCTCCTAATTTTGTATCTTCTTTTTTATTAACCCAATAAATCCAATTAGTGTTGCCCATATGAGCATCAGTGTGGGGCCATCCACCAAACCAGGAGAAATCTGCCAGAGACCATACCCTCAAAGAAGAGTGATTCTCTCTCCATGGAAGCTACAGCTACCAACAGCATCCCCGGCATCTCAGTAAGGTGTAGAGTCTGGGGATCATCTCTCCCATCTATGTGGGATCTTTGGCGGCTTGATCTTGTTCATGAGTACAATTGCCTTGTGGACAGAAGACAGTACTTCACAACACTCCTCTCCATCCTCTAGCTCCTACATTTTTGGCCCTAGTTAGGGGTGGGAGTTGAGGATTATGTCATTTAGTTTTAAGGCTGAGCACTCAGTCTCTTCCTAGACCTTTGACCAGTTATGAGTCTCTGTATTGACAACTGCCCACTGCAAAAAGAAGTTCCTCTGACCAAGGTTGAGAGCAGCCCAGATCTATAACTGTAAACACTAATATTTGGAAGGCAATCATTTAGTCAAATAAAAATAACGGGTTCTATCCAAGGACCTATGGCCTCCCCAGACACGGCATTATGAGCAGGGTTTCGATATCGGGCATAAAATCCCTCCTGCGGTGCAGACTTCCAATTCAATCAGAAAGTGGTCAGTTGGCCAATCCCATGAGTGCCACTACTGCACCAGTAGGCACATGTTGCCTGGCAGGTCATGCCATGCAGGGTCCAGTGCTGGGTAAGACCGTTTATGTGCAGTGAATTTTGAATGCCTACTGTGGACAAGCTAAGGAATTGGACATATAAAACCTGTATCTGAGCCATGCAAAGCCTCCAAAGATGAACCCATACTCTACCACAGTCAACTTTTGACTAATTTTAATAAGAACACCACACAGAGGAAAAACCATGGCATGGTCATCTCACCAGTAAAAAAGAGGAGATCATGAGAAGATTTGGGAGAAGAGTGAACTCTAGGGGAATTGCAAAAGAAACCATGTTTTGATGAGCTCAAAACAAGGTAGGACTGTCACAAGATCATCATTGGGTGTGGATCTGGACTGTGAAGTGAACCCGGAGTTCTGCATCCTTGGGAACCACGGAGTAGATATGAAATGTTGTGTCCGGATAGGCTTTGTGTGAAGCTCTGTACTTGATCAGAAAGCCCCTCCCCTGAGAACTGTGAGTTAAAGGAGCAAAAAAAAAAAAAAAAAATCCAGGGAATTATTCTGGCAGAGGTAGGAGGTCCAAAATACAGACAACTTTGTCAAAAAAGTTTCCTCTGATTAAGGTATGAAAAAGGGCAGGCTAATGGAAGCAAATTTATTTCTCAAAGCCAAGAACTCAAATCTGCCTCTGCAGAATGAGTATACTGACTTTGCTTGAAATGTAGGATTATTTGAGATGGAGATCTATTAAAAAAAAAAAAAAAAAATTATGAAGGGGCTGTAATACATAAAGATGACCACTTGGTGTCACCACTGACCGCCAACAGCTTGGAGGCTCCAACCTTTAAACACCACACACACACACACACACACACACACACACACACACACACACACACACACACACACATGCACACATACACACACACGCTTCATCTTTTCTGAATTGAAAAAAGAAAAACAGCCATGACAGCGGGCCCTGAAGTCAGAACACGTGGGCTCCAAACCAACCGGGCCTTAGACACCTATAAACTGCTGTCCCTTTGTTTTTGAGTTACCAGGTTTCACTACTCAGGTTTCTTAATGGTAAAATGGTATGTTATGTTTAATTGTATTAATAATGTGGAACATTTATAATACATTAAGCACTCAATAAATGTTACCTAGTACTAATTGATGAAAATAATGATGATGGTGGTGGTGGCAGTTATGATTAAGATTCCTTGATTAAGGTTCCCAGATTTAAGAGGAACTAATTGTGGGGGAATAGAAATGTCTATCTTTCCAAGCAAAGAAATTAAAATATGGTGCTAATGAAGCAAAGTTAACAGTTTCCTCAAAAGATATAGATTCTGAGCGGGATGTGGTGATTCATTCCTGTAATCCCACTCCTTTGCAGACTAAATCAGGAAGATCGTGAGTTCCAGACCAGCCTGGAGTACATAGTAAACCTACTACTTTTATTCTGATAAATGGACACAGTATCTAACTGCCTACAAAAAGCATCTCTCTGCCCATAGAGTAGCACAGCTCTCACTGTTCATCAGGGAATTTCTTTGTGCAGTGGACAGTGTTTATACAGAAACTCACAACTAGTTCAAGTGCAGAAAATAAACGGCAGGGAGTGGAAGGCTCAGACACAAAGGAGACGTCTATCACACACACACACACACACACACACACACACACACACACACACACATCCTTCACACACGTCAAGGCTCAGGAATCATGTAGAAAAAGGGGGCAGAAAGATTGTAAGAGCCAGAAAGAGGTTGGGGAAGGCCAGAGTAAAGCAGTGTGCTCTGGACAGGCCCACTGCACTCCAGAACTCATGGTCGCTGTGGCTGTCCGCATAATCAAGCCCTTCAACATTCCAGCAGGGAACAGGAAGGGCTTCCAAAGGCCCCACCCCTAGCTGAGGTGCTAGGGTCAATTGATGGTTTCTGAGGAAGGGACAGTCAATTTTCTTTAAGGACATAGCTCCTGGTAGGTCAACTCCAGGACCACTCCACATCTGTGAGTGTATGGGCAGAACACATTGGACTCAATGGGTTAATACTTTTTTTAAAGGCACAAAGTTGGGGAGGTATGGAGGTGGGGTGGGTCAGGAAGGAGTTAGGGGGAGGAGGAGTAGAGGTGGATATGATCAAAATATACGGTATGAAGTTCTGAAAGAATTAAAATATTTTAAAAGTTAATTGTAAAGAAATAATACAACGAAATTGTCTATATAGTGAAAAGGTAGCACTAGAGTGTTCACATTACAAAAAAAATGCATTACTGTGTCTTCTGAACCGTCGTCATGACAACATGGACTTCTTTCACCTTCAAATTAGCACTGGAAGTGAAGGCTGATGTAGGTGGGTGACTATGTGGCCGCGTAAAGCAAAGCCTGAAGGCGTCTTGTACCGTTTTTATTTGTCATATAGTTTCCTCTCATTCACCAAGTGTGCTATCCCCCAACAACATTTTCGTCTTTATTTTGTGGGGCTAGAGGTTGAACCCAGAGTCTTGCACATGCTAATTATGCACTGGACCAGCTGGGATATTAGTTTTAAAGCAAAATATCTAGAACGCTCAAGAAATGTCAAGGTGAGTTCTAGAAAAATGGGACAGAATAAAAGACAATGAGTAAATGTCTCAAGCTCCCAGCTTCTTAAACCGTTGCTCACAACTTTATGTGGGCTCACATAACTGAATGTGAAGATAACAAAAACTTTGGCAATAGCGGGTTGCTGAATGTGCAACAAACAAAATTTAATTAATTAATTGAAATCAAACAAAGAATGGGTCAGGGGTCTTTCTAGCGGTACTAACTTGTGTTGTACTACATGCTCTCACAGTAGCCTCGGTTCCGAGTGCACAACCTGCTCA